TCTGGTATATTTTCCACTGAAAGGCTGTAAGTAATACTGGATCAAGTTAACATGGAGAATCGCTTGAACATTTGGCTGCAAATAACAGAATAAACCATTTCACGAGATTAGAAATGATCACAAGAGAGGTTGGACCATAATTAGATGCTTCCTGAATACCAATCTAATCTACCATTAAAGCATTAAAAAAAGATTATTATTAAAGCATCAGTTCAGGTTGTTGGCATTGTGCCACATACAGAGACTTAGAGTCTTTAGAAAATGTAAAGAAAATTTGAAGTCACATTCTAGAGGACAAAGAAAATTGAGTGATAGAGGCAGCCCTCTTTCCCCCAGTCTGTCAATGAAATATATTCCCGCAGCATACTATATAGAACCCAATCCTGTGGAATACCAGAGAGAGATAGAAGGTGCACAGAATTGAATATTAAATATAAAAATGTACTACCTATTCTCGCCAAACCCCCCCCAACAAAATCCATATTGCTCGTCACTTACTTTCTCCCACCTATCTGTCTGCGAAACATTGAAACCTTCAAATATTTTTGCCTTACACTATACTTACACTACAAAAATGGGAATTTACATAACAAGCAAGTCATAGACTCTCCTGTGTATATTGTTCTAAAGTTGCACCACCCCAGTAACCACTGTATAATATAAAAATAATAACAACACTGTACAATATCCATAGTTGTAGTTATGGAGTCTGCGTTTCCCAGTTGGAAATGTTGAGAGTGATATGGAAATCACTCCGCATTCTCTCCTCCCTTCGCTCCAGAATCTCGAGCCTTTAGTGTGACTCCAGACCGGAGCATTTGTAAGAGACTCGACACATTCGAATGTTGATTAAGATAAGCAAGTGATATGTTTTGTCAGTGGGAGGTGACGTTCATTTGCCCCACAGTAAAGCTTCTTGTTTCATTTTCAAATGAAGCTACGTGCTGCGAATGGAAAAAGCCTGTTTAAGGGCGCCCTGTGAATGGACAAGGGAATGTTTTTGTGTGTGATGTTCTATGTCGCTATACAACCTTCTCCTTTTACTGCTCTGTGTTTGGCAAAATAGATGCAAAGTCAAGTCGTTTACTGTTGTATGTTCACTTTCCTCTTTCTGTAATTAGTTTCCTTCTTTTTTCAGGGAAGACAGGCTGGGAAAATTGGGAATTTCTTGCGCTGTGGAAAGAATCCAATGTTTAGATCAAGTCAAAAACCTTATTTTTTGCTGATGGAGGGAAGGACTCAGAGTGCTTTTTGATTTTGGCAGACTCCAGAGGTTGAGAACGGAGTAGAGAAAACTGTGGCTCAATTTCAGATTCCGACTCTGCAGTGATGAATGAATGAATGTAGTGTTAGCCGGTAGCCAAATCAGCTTCTGGGATCACAGTTGTTAAATGACAACTCATTAGAATCACACCACTGAATCGTAACATGAGGGGAGACAATCATATCGTCCGTTTGCTCGCTCAACGCTCGACAATTTGAGCTTGAATTTGAATTCACCGGGTAATAGGAATTTGAATTAAAAGAAAATTAAATAAATCTTAACGGGTGAGGTGGCTGTGGTTCCCCAGTGGATGAATGCACCACCTTTTGTGGTACTGAGTCATTCATAGTAGAAGGTTAGCCTGGGCTGAGTTAGGTGATTTGGCCAAATCCCACTCTTACACAAGACACCAAATCGCACTTAGACTTAGCCTGAAAGACCATTTTGTCTTAAAGCAAGTATGATTGTGCAGAATTGTTGAATATTCTTAAGTTCAGGCTCAAGTTTTAAAACAGTTTCTACATTTAACAATTTTCCAAAGTTCGGCACTGTGGTAAAACCAAACATAGTCATCTGTTCTCTGGTGAGTGTGGATGATGGAAGAATATGTGTGAAGTGCTTTGAGATAATTCAACAACAAAAGGAGCTATATTAACTGCAGAAAAGATTGGGTTCTTACCTTACCACTTGCTAAAAAAAAGTAATGATTTTCCTCAAATAGAGGTAAACAGTAAAATTATTCTCTATAGCGATCAGCTTATGTGTTTCGTTGGTGATCAGAGTTTGCTCATAAAATACACTTCACGGTATATCCTGTGAAGTGCTTTGGGATGTCCTCCCGACATGAAGATGCTATACCAAATGCAAGGATTATTATTGCACGCTACCCCCACTACCACCCCCATTATTTTCATCTCATTATGACATCCACCTTAAGTGTCAAAACAGGGAGCTTCGATTTAATATGAGGTACAAAGGGGAGCACCTCCAATAAAGCAGAAAGCACCAGTCTTTCAGCACATCCAGTGCACTGAAGCCAATTCTCTCCACACTGAACTCTGTTCTCTCCACAGCATCGCACTTACCTTGGAGGAGCTCTGTTGTTTTCCACTCCCTGCTGAGTATTATCTGACAAAAGTTTACAAGCTGGATAATGACGGCTAGAAACAAATCAAAGGCTTTTTAAAATAATTGGAGGCGAGGGAAGACTCTGTGGGTAGAGCGTATCTGTGCTGCACTTAGAATGGAATAACTGTGCAAAGTGTTTTGAAGCATCCTCCTGATGTGATAAGCGCTGTAGAAATATAAATTGTATTGCACCGTTTTGGAGGAATGAGAAATTCCAAACAATCTTTGGATCTTGCATCTTTCGGGATAGACACGGCTTCTAAGTAGGAAATACCCCACCAGTTAGAAGCCCTCGTTCTAGTGATATTCTCTCTCTCTCTGGAGGAATAGGGTCTATAGATGAATGGATGATAAGTGTCCTGCACAATGTTCTTACCACAGTGGTTCTGTCTCTTTAAATGTATTAAGATGCTGTCAGCGAGATCGTGCTCTATCTCTCCCCAGTTGGGGGATGTTTGATTTCTTAATGGCAATGGTTTGATGTAGCCAAATTCTTACAAGCATCTAACTCTTACTGTAATAAAACCAGAAGTGGCTGGGAACACTCAGCAGGTCAGGCAGCATCTATGGAGAGAGTAAAATGAGTTAACGTTTCAGGTTGATGACCTTTCATCTCACTTTCCTCTCTCCATAGATGCTGCCTGACCTGTTGAGTGTTCCCAGTGACTTCAGTTTTTATTTCAGATTTCCAGCATCTGCAGTATTTTGTCTTTTGTTACACTCTCACTGTTGTTTGCCAAGAAGTATTACTTAGGGATCAGGATCTCGAGAAACTGTAAATGAAACACAGCCAGTTTGCAAATCACAGGCAGCCTCATTATAGGGGAAATCTCAGCATTGGGTTAAGTTGACGCAATGATGTTTTCTTCACTTACTATTCACCCGTCTTTAACAAATACTCAGCAAGAATTGGGTTGAAGAACAATGAGGAGCAGAGATTAGCGTAATAAATAGGCTGACAGATTTAGGGTAGATATCAGCAAAAACATCTGTACTCAAAGTTATCATGTTTATAAAATAATATTAGCAGAAAAGCAACAGAGCTTTTATTAAAAACATTACGGTTATTAAGAGCCGTTAAGTGGCAGGATTGTGAGTTAATGTGCTGTGGGATTAGTTTGGGTTGGCTGAATGGCCTTTTCCTGACGCTTTTGTTCAGCGGATACTTTTCTATTGTGTATTATCTGCTGCTACCAGTAGTTGAAATGAGACAGAGAAGAAATATTAAATAGAGACTGTCTAGTTATTTTCAGCACCCGACCTTGAATTCTTCCAAGCAGCAAAACATGTTACATTATTTTCAACAGGCAATGCAAGGTCAGGCTCGCTGCCTGTGAGGGAGGCAAAACGTTTTGTGGCCAAACGTCCACAAAATGGGGCAGGTACATCCCCAGGGAGAAAAGGGAAATTTTGTGCTGATTGACTGTTAGTTACTCTCGGGGTCAGTGGAAGGAAATGTAATAATAACTAAACTGCTTGTCTATTCAAGGCATTGGAGTTCACATGGCACTTGTCTGTCTAGGACTGCCCTACCCTTTGGGACAAACAATTATTATCTTTTGTTTCCTTCTCAGAAACTCCTCAAAAGAATTCTTCTGACATAATCCTTTGACATTCACATTTGTATGATAGACTTACTACACTTTCTTCTCAATCTCTTACCTATCCCCAGGTGTCCTGTAGTGTATTGGTTAGAGCACTCGCCTCGCAAGCGAGAGGACCCAGGTTCGATTCCCGTGTATGACGAAACCTTAGGCAAGTTTCCTTTCTCCACACGCCTCTGTTTACCAGCAGTAAGTAGGAACCCGGTTGTTAAAGGACGCCATTAGGCCCGTCACTTCTGTACTCCTGTTTTCTCTTTATATACCTCTCTTCCAAACATCTATCATTCCCTTTTAAAAGAATAAGTGAGCTCTGCTTCACCAATGGTTTGTGTCAGAGAATTAATTTTTCATTGCACTCTGTATAAACAAATGTTTTACAACATCGTTAATTTTTTTTATGGCTATCTTAAATTAGTGCCTCTGATTTTATTTTATTTAAGAAAAAGTCAGAGTGACCAATTCAGAGTAATTCTAAAGGAAATGCTTTAGTTGTTTGTGGTTTCATTGTCAAATATCAAGCAGCTGAAATATTAAAGCTGTGTTATCACTCTCAGTTACACACCATCACACATAAACACACATTACTGACAGAGGGACAAAGAATTGCAACCTCTTCAGCTCTTCCAAAAAAAAAAGGACTGTCTAAACCACATTTAGTCTGACCCCTAAACCACCAAGCAATATTATTTTAACATTCACCCGATGCAAAACGGAAGTAAAGGTTAAAAGAAAAGCTGGAAAATTAGGAGGCAGTTTCTCACTCAAAGGTTAGTGGAAATCTGGAACTGTCTTCCCCAAAAGCCTATGGATGATGGATCCATTCACATTTTCAAGACTGAGGTGGTTAGATGTTTGTTAGGTCCGGGGATGAAGGGATATGGGGCAAAGGCGGGTAATTAGAGTTGAGGTACAGATCAGCCGTGATCTGATAGAATGGCGGAACAGGCTCGAGGGGCTGAATGGTTTCTAAATGTGGCGACTGAATTCTTCTCGTGATATTTCAGATAAGAACTCTAAACTAAAACAAGACGGCGTTTAAAGTTCATTGCAAAGTGCTGACGTCAGCGTGAGTAAATAGAGCCATTGAGGACTGACCGATAAACATCGTTAACGCAACCATTGTCCAAGAGAGGGGAGAAATGGTGATTCTCAGTGGAAGGGAGAGTGATTGCGAGGATGAAAAAGTAAGGTTTACATAAACGATTTTTGACAAATGAAGAGAAACTGCCTTAGGCTTTGCTTCGCTTGCAAGCTAGATCTTTCTTATTCTTCGCTGTGCTGTTTCTGGCGGCCGCATTGATTTCACTTCCATAACCTCAGTCATTGGAAAATTGCAGTACTAATGGCTGTGTTCTTTTACACTGGTGACAAGTGCTGTGCACACTGAGAACTAAAAGGGTTCACCTGACCCCCCTCAAGAGGATCTTGAATTGAACGCTGTAAATAACCCCCCCCATCCCTACTGTACAATAGCATCTGTTGTGAGGGTTTGCGTTGGTCTCCATTGTGAGCTTGAGGTGGGTGTGTGGGGGGAGGAGAGAGTAAGGAGATTTATTTTCACTGGGTTTGAAAAAAGGAAATTATATAATGACTTTAGCTTTCAGGGAAAACATAAAACAGATTATTTGCAGGTCACTAGCCTGGCACAGAGGCTATCAACCTTCTCAGGATTAAAAGGCCATCTCACCTCCCAATTACCAAGTGGTGTGTGAATAAACGAGGTATTCTAATGAAAAATTAGCATCTCTTTTGCTGCTGATGAGAAAACCATTAACTGTCACAATTCCAGGAAGCATCCTATTCTGCAGCGTCTCCGGACAAAGTTGTTTCCTGCTCCGACCCAGCCAAGGCTTCTTGTTCAAACGATCCCTCCACCTTGCCCCCGTCCTCCCCACCTTCAGATCCCACCTAAAAACCTTACTTTTTGATTGTGCTTATGGTCACCTCCCCCCTCCCTGTCCCCCTGGTTCGTTGTCAGACTCCCCCACTGTCAAGCGCTCCGGGACACTACCCCTTGTGGAGGGCGCTATATGAATGCAAGTTATTGTTCACAGATAGACAGGGCTCTGCCAAGGCTCAAGATTTCTGGCGTTGGGGTGTTCAAGGCTGCGAGGGTCGAGGAAGATTAACCGATGGTAACTGAGATAATGCTCCTATATGGGTGCCCGAACCAAACCCAATGACCCACCTCACCCCCACGGCCTTTCATTCAGTCACATCCACGGGACGCTTTAGTCTTTGCGCCAGGCTGACTATCGAAGGCACCTCCTCATTAGCTTTTCATTCACAAGTAATTAACGCTCTCCGGTTGCACACTGTGGACACTGAGGAATATTACTCCAAATTGCCGAAGCTTTCTGAAACAGATGTCCGCTTTCCATCAGCAGGGGAATCCTGCTTGTGTGTGCAGAATTTCTGATCCACTATTAGAATCTGTGTCTGTGTGAATGCAAGTTATCAACTTTGGGGATGGAATTCACGGGGTGAACAATCTAATACATTGGTATGAGTGCTCAGGAGCTTGTTGACATATATAGTCAGGTGTTAGGAGTCAGAAAAGCGTGTTGTTGGGGGTGGGGGTGGGGGAGGGAGACGGGAATAGTTACTCTGTGACTTAGTTTGACTGACATTCTCTCTGGTATTTAAGAGTGGGAGGTAAAGAAGCCTCAGAGATGTAATGTGAAGCATTGGATGAAGAGTTTTGTGTCATTGGGTTCACTGACTATCCATTAGACTTGTCAACCCTATATGATTAAAGGTAGCTGTGAGCACATATTTGAACCGGACATGTGTTCTGCCAGCTTCCATGGTTACATTACATACCAGCTCATTAATGGCAATTTACTGTCTTCCAGTGAAACACAACTCATGACTATTTCAGCGTCAGCTCCTGTAAACAAAGCATATACAGGGTAAAAGCTGAAAGTAATCAAGAGTTTGGCGATGTCCTTCCAAAGTAAAAGGCGCTATATCAAATTCAAAGTTTGTCACTATTATTTTGTTTAGCGCAGGTCATTGAAGCACCAGTTTATTGCACTAAAGACCTATGGGCTGTGGGTTCGATCCCCTCGGCTGGGAGCTGTGCAATTTAGGTAGTTGTTAGTTTGTCCTCCAGCACAGAACTCCCCGGCTATTCAGGTGAAGTGGCATCACAGTCTGTTTGTTTGATTTTGTTATGGCCTCGTCATTGTCGGGGAATTTGTGAAGATGGAACATTCACACAGTTGGAATTACATTTGACATGATGACTGCCCTGGTAATGTTTGAGGAATGCAAAGGGCTTGAGGATGACTAGTGCAGATCCCAGGCTCTGCACAGCTATTATGCAGTCTTGCTTCACAAACCTTTGAATTGCATGGAGAAATAGGAGCAAAAATTGCATCATGGTGTAGAGGTTTTGGCAAACAACCCCCAAAAAAAGTCCCAGATAGTTTTGGTCACTGTGGTTTTGGAGACCGGAAACCATAGTTTGAATCTGTTTTGGTCTTTCTGTGTCTCCAGCCATGTTGATCTCTCACTCTCTGCTTCTTCCTTATATTAAATTACAATTGAATCAGGTCCATCATCACTGAATTTAGATGAACATAAACTGCTGTCAATGTTGGTGAACTCCTCACACATAGAGACATGGCCACAAGAGCTCAATAGATGTAAGACCAGAATAAAAGTACAATGAGGAAAGGCCATTGGGGTCTGTCTAAGCATATCTCTTCCCAGAGCAGGTACCGCTACCTTATCTACACTCCACCTGAACCACATAGTCTCCCTTTTTACCTTTCTATTCAAAGATACATGATGTAAAACTGTATAATAACTGGGTAACCTTATGTTCTATTTATTCATCTTTGACCAATTTATTCATCTTTGAGGCCAAGGAGTTCAATCTTTCTCGTTTGAGGTTTGATTATCTCTATCCATAGCTTTCCTTATCTGTCTCAATCCACTTTTTACACTAATAGTCAATCCACGACTGTTTGTGGGACGCTGCTGTGCGCAATTGGCTGCCGCGTTTCGCCCACAAAATACACAATCAATTCACTTTACATATATTCTGTGAAGCGCTTTGAGATGATGTCTCGAAGACGTGATAAGGCGCTACATGAAATGCAAGGATTATTATTATTGATTATTACCTTCTATGTCTTCATGTTATCAGCTTGCACCTCTGTCTGGATGATTTTAAATGCTTGTTTTAAAATAATAATAATAATAATAATCCTCGCATTTGATATAGCGCTTTTCACGTTGGGAGGACATCCCAAAACGCTTAACAGAACACACTGTAAAGTGAATTGACTGTATATTTGTGGGCGAACGCGGCAGCCAATTGCGCACAGTAGCGTCCCACAAACAGTTGTGGATTGACTGTATGCAGTTCATGTGAATTAACATTAGAAATTCTGGCCAGGTGTAACTCCAGCTACAGTGTATTTTGGTAACTTGTCATAGAGCAGCTAAATGCATAGCTTCCAATTTCTGTGGCATCTTGAATATTTGAAGAGTATAAATACACACTGTCATCAACCTCACAACTAACAGTAGACAACAGAAGTGCCCTCCGAGCTTCACTTGGTTCGATGAAAAAAATCTCTACAGGATACCAAAGTGCCACACGGTATCTAAGCAGACCCTTTCTCAAGCACTTACAGAGGCATTTCTGGGGACTCATTGGGGCAAAAAATAAGTCCCAGCTGCTGTAGCTGAATAAATTATTCCAAGGAAGAAATCACTGAATAATTTAGAAAATGTATCCAGTGGTCTGGACAGGATGTCCATTGACTGGACTAAAAAATACTGTATGTGTTAATTATTACTGAAGAAAATATGTAGTTACAGTAGATTTGCATTTGCTGACATGGGGTTCAGATTGTTCAGGCATTGTGGATTGATGGTAAATGTACACTGTGCAGTGTGGCCTTACCACAGTAATAATCATAAAAATAATAATATCCTAGCATTAGATACATAGGTCTCTCCTCTTCAACCCCCACCCCCCGCACACACTGATTGTGTTGCTGCCATGAGAGTTTTCAGATGGAGGTAAGGAACAGGACTGAAAGCTCAAAGCCCACTCCAGAGCCTCACGTACGCATACACAACCACAGTGAACATCGTCAGTGTATTGGTAGGTTCACCGGAGTGAATTAAATGAATTAATTACATAAACAGTAATTATATTTATTGTTTATTTGGGAAATAAAGTCCCTGGGGGGAGGGGGGCAGGCCTGCACGATTGACTAGGGTATATGGACCGTGTGTAACGTGTTCACTGACTGAATCTCAGAAGAGAAAACGGTTTATGTTTGATAATTTTACACGGAGCGGTGTACATGTGGGATGGACTATTCAAGGAAACAGATTGTGAGCAAATTCAAGAGGGAATCGACAGTTGTTTGGCAAAAGACTCAACTGAGGGATTTTGAGAGATAATGTAGGGATGGCTTTGGCTGAGCGCACATCTGGGAAATGGCTGAGCGCACATGTAGAATAACAACACGGGAATTGTGATCATAAAACCAAGCGTCAGAAAAGTGAGGAAAATGTCATCCCATTTGCCGGGGTTAGATTTAAATCCGGGTCCGAAGGGTCAAAGGTTTGTTGCTCCCTGACATTTCAATTGTTTTTTTTGTTGGTTGATTAGCTCCGAGGTGCTGTGCCTGGCAACAGAATGTCAGAATCAAGCAAGTTGTGTTGGGTAGTTTGGTAAGGCCAGTTCCTGAGTTGAGTACTCTAGAGCACTACTGATGACAGACTAACTACGTTGTGGCAGGACAGGACATAGAGGGGTAGATCAGCCCCTGAGGGCAGGAATTCTTATAACAATAATAATTAATAATAATATTCTTCTCACTCCCTCAGCTTCCTTTAATCCCACAAGCAAAGCCCTCACTGCTAGGATGATCTTAGCTGGACAAGCAGCGGCAAGTGTGCCAGACCGTGATTTTAATGACAAGTTATACGGTTTTAGATGGTTAATCTCAATGCACACTCTGGGATCATTAAGCTTTGGCTCTAATGATGTCTATCTAATGATGTCTATCCCAGTGAACTCATAAAATCATCATCAACCTATAGCAGACCGCTGATCTATACAAAAAAAACTAGTGAAATGCAAAGTGAGTTACAGTATGATCTGGAAGTAAAATATTCACTGCCTCAAATATGTCCGTTCTCTCCAACCTTT